TGTGGTCAATCTGCAGTTGGGCAGTAGGTAAGTCATTATCCATGTCATGCTGGTAGACTTCTTCAAAAAAGCGCCGTCTCTCTCTTAGTTTTAGGTGTTGAGCAGAGTCATTGTTTAACAGCTTCTGAGTCTTGTCTGTCTCAGCTGATCAAGAAAAGAGAGAAAAAGACAAGAAAGCACATTAAAGCACTGGCTTTACATTCCTTTTAATGTCGCACTGTGTTATACTAATAACTAGGAACAGAAGGTGTCTCTTTTCTAGGGTACAACATGTGTGGGTTTCTTTTCTTGATACATAAAGGCTCTAGAAGGGCAGCTCTTCTGAGTGCAACATAATCTGTTAGTCAGATAAACATAACAACTTCCTCGCCCAGTAGTAGTGGAGTAGTTTCATAAATCAACCTAAAAACGTGCTTATAACCTTATATTTTGATTCATTCTGTTTGGCCTTTAGATAGAGTTAGGTTTAAACAGCTTTTTCATGAAAGTTGGCGAACAGGAGAAAGGTTAAAGGATCACGTAACCTCACATTCCGTTTTATTGTCTGCATCTTTAGAAACGTGTAGCCACGCATTCTTTGGTAGTTGAGGTGTGTTATATACCTCATATGAGCTGCAGCACAGGATTAAAAACTAACCAAGAAAATCTATTGCATGGATTAATTTTTCTAATGCTCGCCTCATAAAATCAATAAAGAAATAAAGGGACAACAAAAGTTTCTTTTCATTTTTTATGTTCTCTTGAATTCAAACTCATACCATGAAACAGATGACATGTGCCAAATGAATTCCAGAAATGCGAGTGTAGCCTACTGGTCAGACTGGTAAATAATAATACGTTTCTTTTACTGGTAAATAATAACAGCGCAACTGTCACGCAAAGAGAAACAAGTGTTATGTTGTCAACATCTGTTGACAACATAACACTTGTCCCACTTGGACATCTATTGCAGACACCTTGTTAGAATCCTTACCGAGATACTTTATGTTGGTTGTTCCCCATATTTGTCACAACTCTATGTAATGCGGTTTACAACGTATCTCAGCATGTCACTGTCAACTACTCAGCTCTGTTTACCAGTACTTACAAAGCTCAGAGAGTAGGGGGAAGACATGCAGGAAATGGCCTGGGGCAGATTCTACCTGCTTAACCCTAAGAGCTATACAGTTCATAGGGTAGTTCAAAACATTTAAATAACTTTCTTCTTCTTCAATTCAATTTGTACGACTGTGGATTGATTCAGCTGTGCTTTTTTTTTGTTTTGTTAGTAACTTTCACATTGTCTTTTAAGGCTGTGTGAAAGTCATTGGATTTGTGGTGTTGTTCACACCTAGCTATCATGCCAAGAGCTGAGTAATAACAAAATTCTGTAAATGTTCATTAAATATGGAAGGACGCAGGACAACAAACACAGCTCAAAAATGTATCTCTGACAGCACTCAAAATTGTGTTAGTCTAGTCAAAGATTTTGTGTCTGATATGTTTAATGAGTAACTAAAAAGAATGGATCCTTTGCTATTTGGAAGGGCGGTGATTCAATCCCTTGTACCTCCAGTCTATGTGATTTTCAGTAGCTTGGACAAGCTACTGAAAGTTGTTTCGCATACATACATTGTGCGTGTGTGTGTTTAAGTATTAGACAAAATGTTTAAAGGCATAAAATGAAAGTGCTGTATGAGGCTTGTAGGAGAAGGTAGAAAAACACTATAAGTAGCAGTCAATTTACCAATGTTTTCTTGCAGTTATACGAAATCAGTATCATACTTTTACATTCACTTCTTAACGTTACACTACTTTGTACTAACAGTGAAACTCACTGAAATGGAGAGTCTCTAATGAGAAATTGTTATTCTTCCTTTTCCATACTTTATTCTTTCCTCTTCTTCTTTCACTACTGCTCTCTTTCCATGTTTGTTTCACTCAGCCCTTATGTAACTTTACCTAACGCAAAGAAATAATGATGCTGGTCTGACCTCTAGTGTTCACAGTCAGACTCACATATAGTTGGTGAATCGGTTCAGTGAAGTCTGCTGAAGATTTTAGGGAAATGGAGCTATTTTTTAATTATTATTATGAAAAATAAGAGAGCATTTGTCCTCGGTTCTGCCACGTGCATTGTCCTCTACTGGGTCGACAGGCTGTGATTGTGTAATTGTGCTACATCTTCCTCAGCAAACACAGGGCCTCTTTCCCCCCAGGCACCCTTAGCTGACACTTTGAGTCATGTCATCATTGTTTTGGGGATATGTGTACATGCATGTATGTGTAAATTTGAAAGTGTCAGCATGTTCACATGACTGAGTGCTTATGCATTTATGCTATTTAGTTTGTATTCTGTCACCCAGTGAACTCAACATGCTTTTGATGTCAGCACATGAAGAGAAGTATTTACTTTTCTACACTGAGCATTAATGTTCTCCTGCCTGAAAACAAAGACAACAGCCCATTTGTGTCACCCTGGGTCCTCCTTAATTTATTTCTCTCTCCAGAAACCTTGTTAGTCTGCCGGGTACTTTTTTCTTCCCTGGAAGATTGTGTCCACTGTCATCCATGAGTGATAACCCAATATTCTGTCATTCAATTGGTCTGAGAAGGAAGTTCTGTCTCTTTGCCTGCCCCTTTAAGCAGTTGGTGGGAAGACAGTCAATGGAAAAAAGTGTACTGTGTTTTTAAGCATATACCAGTGCCAGACCATAGATGTAATAAATGAACATGTCAGTACTACACTAGTTTAAAAATACAAATATACTCAAATCATCTGACAAACTCAACTGTTTAAAAAAAACAAACACTTGAGACTCACTTGAAGAATGACTTTCATGTTAAAACGGCCAATGTCAGAGATATAATTAACATGTATATATGTTAAACAAAGCACAAACGGGGTGCTGGATTTTGATGCCAGTTGTTAGGTGAAGTGGATCACAGAAAAGGGCTTCACCAACAGCTTTCTTGTAATTAATTTGGTCACTATCAGATTGCTGTGATCACCCATTTAGTATGGAAGAAATGCTAACTTCTTTGCAAACACTACTACTGGCTGAATGTCAGTAAAGCTTGAAAAAATGTTGACTTTTAAAGCAGAAGTTGGGTCTCACTGCTGCAGACTCCAAGCGAGTCTCACTTCAAAGTAAAAGTGAATCTCCATTTTGGGTTTGTGTCACATTGTTTGGAGTATCACTCCTACTCGGAGGGCAGCTGGTGTGTGTTTGCAGGTTACCCTGCGTCTTCCATGCAAACGACCAAAGCAATTGCACTTTCACCTAGCGACTACCACCATCCGCCTGCAGCCATTGGCCAGCTAGATGGTAAATACACATTTTTTCATTGCGACTAGTTGTTTCAGGGGTTGCTGACCAGTCAAATCAAGTCTGTGTGACTGGGGCCTTAGCTGATGATTTAGCACTTCAACCCCTCTTCTAAGTCTGATCATTTCTAACTCCAAAAAATCAATATGTTGATACCATAAAGCTAGTGAAGGCCTTCCAGCGAATAGTGCAGTGTAGGGCTGGGCCATATCATACCGTTCACGGTAATACCGGTATAATGCTGGGCAACGATAAGAAAATGAAATATCGCAATAGAATATGGGTAAAACGCACATGCGCAGTGCCTTTGCTTTCATACGCACATGGCGGAAAAAGCATGGCGGCGACGCAGAATGAGAAGAGCGAAAGTGGATCGTTAAATGAAACGGATGAACCAGAATTGGTTTGTAAAAATGTTGCAACTTCAGTGGTGTGGAACTGGTTTGGCTTTCGTCCGTCAGATACACAACAAAGCACTATTTTTGGTAGAGCATGCTAGCGGGCCGTCGTTATTGCTGTGTTTTTTGGAAAATACGGCACACTTAAAATCAATCCTTTGATTTTTCTGAAAATCGACAGTGCTCCTTATAATCCCGTGTGCCTTGTGTATGAATGTGTTTACTGACCTCGAAACAATTTTATGTGGTACACGGCGCTCGAAAATCTGTCAAATGTTTTAGTACGACTTTGCTAAGCTGAGCATCGCGGAGTTATACGTACCGTGTTTCAACATAATATTACCGTATTGTGTGTGTATAACCTCTTTTAAAGTTTTGTGGATATTAAACATGGTTATGCTGAGGATATGTCGGCCAATTTCCACTGGAAATGCCTTTTGGTTAAACTGTCAGCAAGGAATTTGCATTTGCACGGTAAAGTTTTTATATAGCTATATGCACATAAAAAACAGCTGCTTGTTCAAGTGAAAATACTTTGATGGGGGTTTTTTGCACTAATAAAGTTGTGGAGTTGTAAAGTAATTTGTCTAGTGTCAATTATATCATCAGTTATATCGTTATCGCAAATTTTCAAATGTATATCGTGATAAATATTTTTGGTCATATCGCCCTGCTCTAGTGCAGTGATTACATCTGTTTTTCATATAGAGTTGCTAAAGCTTTAGATGACATGCCTTTATTAGACTACACTCCAAAACAAAGTTGTTCAAATCAACAGTGAATTGCAGGAGGAATAGTATGAAACTTAATATGATATTTGACCAAATAATGATGAACATGCAAGCTACTAAAATCACCCGTCCACCATCTTGCCACCTGCCAGTGTCCATAAACATTTTAGAGGAATCATTTGGCAACAGTGAAAATTTTGATACAAATTAAGTACTTACTTACTTACTTACTTACTTAATAATGATGAAACTTGACAATGATTAAACTGAACAGCTTACATAAAGTTTAGTTTTGCCCCTTGGCCATATGGAAGTCTCTTTCTCTCTCTGTATCTCTGTGACTATCTCTTGCCTTCTTCCCCTTTGTCTGTTTAAAATATAAAAATCATATTGCATTACTCAAGTTGAGTTGACCAATGGACATGTCCAACCCACACACAGTCTCAGCCCCATGTCCCCATCTGTCTGCCCTGACGGGGGAGAGAAACATATATGTAAAAAACTGACTCATTCAGATAACCTTTGGGGTTCCTGCCACACTGCTGTGGAAGACGTGTAGGAGCTATCCATGCAAATTGGCTAAGGTTACATTACTACCAGGCTGAGGTCATAGCTTCTAGAGGGAAATCTTGTGCTTTTGACAGGGATTATTATTGTTATTAAATCCCTTATTTAAACAGGTTGTCACTGAGATCAAGATATGTTTTTCTTGAGAAACCAGTGAACAAAAGACAAACTAAAGAGTAGACTGACTTGTAGACATGCAGACAGATGATACAAACACACATTGTATACACATGTATACATTACACAAATATACAGTAACTTCCAGGGACTCCTATGTTAAACTAATGAAGAGGACCTAACCTGTTGTTTGGTGTTTTCTAGTCAGCATAATGACATCATACTATATCATGTATCATCCAGGTTTTATAGATATAAATTAGATGTTGTACTGATAATACCATCGTCTGTGATGGTATGATAGGGCAGAATGGAATTACCACCTTGCATATCTAGAACAACAACATCAGGGCATGTACACGTTTTAGAGCAACATGTCCTCGCATCCAGACAATGTCTTTTTCAGGGAGGGCCTTGCATATTTTAGCAAGACAGTACAATAAAGTAGCAGATGCTGCATGGTGGTAAACATGGCCCTGTCACAAATTCTGTGAAACTTGTTGCTGCAATTAAATTCAAAGTGATTTACTTTTTTTTTCCTTGAAATAGTAAACTTTCACTTTTGTCACTGTTGTGACAAAAGTGGGGTTGTGAGATTTTCAAATCATTTTCTGTTTTTATTCGGAATTGGGGGTTGAATAAGTGATAAAATCTCTTTTGACCTGACATTGCAAGTACTGTGTGTAAATGAAATTAAAGACCAGAGTTAAGCTGGAAAGAGAGCCCTATAGATAAACACCAGACAGTTTTCAAGACTGATAAAATAGTCGTAAATGGTGGAACACATCCATTTCTGTTCACACTCTTATATAAATGTATGCAGCAAAATACAGGTCACATAGAAAGCCCTTACTAAAGGTGGGTCAGCAAAGAGAAAGCAGATGTGTGAGTTTTACTTTGTTAGGGAAATGCAGGCCTCAGGACAGGAAGCTTATTAACAATACAGAAGAAAATAAAATCAAGAGAGTAAATGAAAGGAAAAATACAAGGCTACAAATATGTGGGTTCCAAATTGATTCATCATATTTATTGCAAGTGTTACTGCGTGTTAAAACACAGTGATATAGTTACAGTCACTGATTGAACCAGAAGAAATACTTATGTATAACTGCTGTGTGCAAGAACCACCTTCCATCTCGAACTCATTCTGCAGATGATTATCCTGGAGCTGTAAATGTGCTGTTATCCTTAGTGCTGTATTAGATCCATTAATTAGAAATTGACTCCCAATTAGAGGTAAGTAGGTGGTACGCTAATAAGCTAGATATGGTATCTTTTGAATTTCACATCAAACCAGAAAAACACATTACGTAATGCAGTTTTGCTCCGGTGCTTTTGTGCTGTGCAACCAATGCTTCTTTATATTTTGCTAGGAAAATGAAAATAGCAATTTACTGAAGTATGTGCAAACTATTAAATTAAACCATTTCAATATAAATGCAGTATATAAGACAAAACACAGCCTAAACTACCTTGCAAGCTTTCTTGTAATTTATTTAAGTAGTCTCCAGGAATACTGCTGGCATTCAAGGATATGCTGGAGAGATCATGTCTCTCAGCTGGCCTGAAATGCCTTGGTGTTCCCCCGGACAAGCTGGAGGAGGTGGCAAGGGAGAGGGAGGTTTTGATTTTTCTGCTTAGGCTGCTTCCCCTGTGACCCGGCCATGGATAAGTGGAAGAAAATGGGTGGATGAATAGATGGATGGAATCCCACGATGCTTGTGATCTCTTACATGACGTGTTCCCATCCCCTACCCTGACCCCTCCAGAAATCCTTTCTTGATCTCAACCCACATCATATATACTTAGATCTTACTGTTACATAATACTTGTACCATCCTCATCTGCACACCCTACACTGGACTCCTACTGCATGAGGACTTAGTTCAATGGTTTGATTGCAGTGTATATTAATGTGTGCAGCCAGAAAAAGAGAATGAAAGAAAGTTTTTCAAAGGAGGTTTTTCAAAGAAAGCTGATTGTGGTTCTGCAACCTGAATCTGCTGTGTATTATCCCTGGTTTAAAGTAACTGTAGTGTCAGTGATTTGAGGATAAAGAGCTTTTTAGGTCTGCTTAACTCAGCTTCACCTCTTTCTGACAAATACAAAGATGCAGTGCCACCATGCATGTTTGATGCTTTTGTTATCTGACATTGCATAGAAATAATAGAGTTTGCATTAATATTGAACGTTTTCCTTCTTCTTATTCTTATCTACATTCCACATTCTTTTTCTATAAAAAATTTCTGTGCATGCATTGATGTTGATCCGTTCTCCAGTGAACACAAAAGGTATTGGTGATGTGTGAGTTTCTGAGCTTGAGGATATATATGAATTCCAGGGCCAGAGGTGACAATTAAGCTGAAGCACATGATTTTCCTTTCTTCCTTTTGATCCTCTAATCACCGGGGCATGATGCAGTGTCCCCTTCAGCTGTTCTGCTTCTGATAAACTGCAATGCTTGGCTTTTATTATTGGATATAAGTGTCTTTTCTGTGATAACAACATTCATCTTTCAATATATGAATATGTGTTATTGTAATGGTGCAGCTGTATATCAAGAGTTCTCTGCCACTGCACTAGGCGCTGGAAACAAATGTTCCTATTGAACTGGAGAGTCACATGGTGTAACATGTAATCCCCTTGTGGCAAGTGGAAAGAAATCCCATGATCATTTTACCATTTTCAGTGAATAGAGATTGGGTGCTTATGTGCGTAAGAGAGCTGGTACAGCAGTCACACTGCATGACCAATAACGTGTGACAGCCCATCCATCTTAAACCCTATCCTTCCTCTCCTACATCTTCTAATTCCCCCCCCAGAGACCCCCATCTAACAGCAGTATACAGCTTCATGATTTTTAGAAATTACTACTAGTATTTACCGAGCCAACCACTCCTTTCTCCTGGCTTTGTAGCAACAGTAGTCCATCAAGCATAAATCATTTATGAGTGAGGTCACTGCACCACAACAGCCACCTCCCCCGGTGTGGTTCCTCACTCCTGCCCACACTCACATATCCATTAAACACACAGCCATGTGGCAGATAGTAAATCAAGACTGGTCATTTACAGTATGCTCTTACTATAACACCCAGCACCACCATTATACTAGCCTATGCAATACTACAAGAGACACAGCCTGAAGCCTAGATTCAAGAATACTTGACAGTACATTAATCTACAGTTTAATACATATGTAGCATCACTCTTTTATCTTCTCCACCCATTTATCTTGAAGCCTACTTAACACTTTTTAATGCTTCTTAATGCTTTATTAGTTGTCTCTCATCTCAAACTCCTATAGTGAGATTATATGTAAACCTCCTCTGACCACCCACTCTCTATATGTCTGATCAAATTTTCTGTTCCCAGGCTGTTCCCATTCCCAAAACCATTAAAGCACTTCACTCACAGCTGAAAACAAAGATGACCTCCAGCCATCCCATATTTAGGCCAGTCTACACAGTGCTTTTATCAGACATACATTTTTATTAATCTTCCTGTGTACAGTACTGCCCATACACAACCTCACAGACAAAGACATTATTAAAGAGCACATTAATATAGCACATTACTCTGTGGACACTTTAACATTACACTGGTTCAATTATAAATCTGACTGTGATTCCCCAGAAAGTAAATCAGTGTCAGCAAATCTTTCCTGTTACTATAAGAACAATCTCGGACTAGTTCTTATCCTCTCACTGTGATTAAACAACATCAGCATGACTCATGTTGTACTTCTGTCCAGCTTATTTAGCAGAAAGGAAAAGTAGGATCATATAAACTGATAAATGAATCATGGGTAATAACTTATTACCAGATTTCAGTAACAGTCTTTAAATAAAGTTAACAGAACATGCATCTCATACCTACTATGTCTAGTGGAAGAAACATTAACGAAGTAGAGTGTATGTTGTTTTGCTGTCTTATAAAAGAGCCTAATGATGCTAAATGAAAGATGTCATATGAAGGAGATGTCAAATATATGTTGAGGCTCTGGATGTTGGGTTGTGAGTCATGTAAGGCTGTTGCACTAGGAGGAAATTAGAAATCTCAGTGCAGTTGTATATTAAGACTTTCATTGCCTGGAATATTCTGAAATGTGCTGTTGAAAGCAATTTGTTAAATTACCCTCGTAAACTGAAAAAGAGCTACAATACTAAAGCTACTAAATTACTCTGCAGACAAATTTCCAGTGTGGGTCATAAAGTTATGCACTGCAGGTCTGTTTACTGCTTTGTTTTTCTAACTACATTTCTGTTAACTCATTTACTTACATGCCTGGCGTTTTTTGAGGTTAGTTGACCCAGCAGACGACATGGTTCGATGGTGTGGGACTGGTTGAAGAGCCTTTAGAAACCTTTGAAGGTGTTGAATTTGTCTTGTCCCCTCCTGTCAAGGCTCCAAGACAGAATGCTGGTGTGTTTGTAGAGGATGGTCATCTATCCATTACATCTCCTGGCTTTGGTACGGGCGTTATTAAAGATGTAACGTTCACATTATCTCCCTTTGCTCTTTTCTGTCTTTTCTTCTGCTCTGCCTTTCCTGCTGTGCTCGCTGACTCTTCGTCTCCCCTCCCTTTCTGATCGCCTTTGCTGTTTTTTCTAGGTTTTCCCTCTCACTGCTTCACACTTTCATCTTGGCTGCCTCTCCGTGTCTCGCACGCACACACGCAGTCTTGCTCATTCTGTCAGACAAGCTCAGTTGTGTTGCAGGGTGGCGTGTGTGTGTGTGTGTGTGGCTTGAAGGGGTTGATAGTGGGCTAGAGCACTATGGCCTGTACCAACTGCTTATGAGGGGGGTCATCAGGACATCTGGATTAGGAGGAGTATAGTCTTTTTACATAACACTGAGGAGTGTACCAAATATAAAAGCCTATAATTTCAGTTATCCTTGATAAGCATACTTTTTTATTATTTGCAAAATTAACACAGTTTTGTTTTGGAAGTGAACTCTAATAAGAAAACCATATGAGAAAAAACCCCATGACTGCATGACTGACTCTATCATGTTCTCACAGGGTGAAAAAGCTGACAAAAGTCAAAATATCAAGGCAACATTAGTCAATAGATTTCTGAGTTATCTCACCTTGTGACAGATGGGTGTTCTGCTTCCAGTAAAGAAAACAAAATAGTGCTTTTTCAACCACAGTACCACCTTCTGGCATTAAGGTAGTGCAGTCAGACATGGCAAAATGCAAGGTGTGACTAATTTGTCTGCTGGGAGATTATTATTTTACATCGTTGGGAGTATGTTATATATGCTTCTGTTTCTGTTAGTGTGACATTTTAAGTTTGATAAATTGTAGTTCAACCCAAGTAATTCAAATTTGGTCAAGTGTGGAGTGACGGCATTTTCTTCTACATTCATTTACAAACATTTGGACTGTATAATAAATGGGAACACTTAAATACTGAGGTAAACATACTATTAAAAAAAACAAAAAGAGGATAATCAGTTATGTGAAGCTTCAATAAACTAAAAAAAGTTATGCCCTGCTTTTATTGGAAAAGTTCATAGTGTGCGATATCTACAGTAGCTTTGAAAATGGAAACCCGTTGAAAGGACAGAATATTGTTGACTTTTCAGGAGTTCTGGCAACTTAACTTAGCTTTTTGCCCAACTTGAATATTACTTTGAGGTTAACAGTAAAATTAAAGCTTCAGTGGCATGCATTTTTACCTTGAGAAACACAGAGGTTTCTGTTGTCATGTACAGAATGAAAAGGTCATTAAAAATACACACGTTACCTAAAATACTTGTTTAAAAGCACACATTCACACTTTATACGTGGGAGATGGAGTTAACAGGCACTTAGGATCATTGCAGGTCCTCACTCTCCCTTTCTCAGTAAGAGTCTTCAAACATTCAGTTGCATCACACTTCAGCTGCAACTAATGCCATGGAAAACAGTGCAGACTTTGTAAGGAGAAGAACAATAAGATACGACTGATCGTCTAGTTTTTCTATGAAATCTGAGGTTCTCAGTATGTTCTTAAAGTTGCACAGCTCAACAGACAATCTGTTTAGATTTATAACTGATGGCACTCCAACTCAGCAGTGTCCTGTACAGCCTGACTTTGGGGACTTACAGTAACTCTTATGGTGGCTGATGTTTCTAAAAAGAGAAAGATTTTGCTCTCAACATATAAACCCTTATCCACTTAGAGTATGTTAGCTTACTTCTCAACAACTCACAATCCCTCATTTGTGAGTTAATATTGGCACCTGCAGGTGAAGACTGTGTATTACAGCTTATTTTAGTTCACATATCAACAGAAACAGTTTTTTCAAAAACTCAGTTTCTGTGTTTACATGTGAACAATGAAAACAGAGATTTTTTTTATTAAAAATAAAATGCTATTCAAAATATCACATTCTGCTTCGTGAGGATATTCTGAATAATTTGTATTAGTATTGGAAATTAAAATATTTGTGAGATATTACGCATTTTGTGCACATGTACTCACACACACATAAATGTATTGTGTTGTCCATAGGAGAGAGTTTTGTTATACAAAGACTGGAAAGCAGAACAAGTTTTTAAAATGTGGAATGATACCTGAAATGTTACGAATATATTTACATTTATTGATAGACATAATAAACAACTTTTAACTTATTGGGCCACAATGTAAAGTTGAAAATAGTATCAACAAGCCCAGGAGAGATTTGCATGCTGTTGCTGATGCAGCAGCATGGAAGGTAGGTAAGGTAAAGGCTTGCACATGTAAAATCTGAAACATGCTCCTGTAATTGCACTATAGGCTATATGCTGGATTGGAATTACTGACAGCAACAATTTACAGAAAGGAAGATAGGAAGCAGCCATACGTAATGCAATGCAGGGACAGCGACTCCTTTTATTATAGAGGGGAGCTTCCAGGATTGGTATCATGCATGACGGGATCGTAGACGACACTGTGTACAATCAAAGTGATTGACAAATGTAACTAGTAGCAAGAAAATGACAAAGACTTGAGCACGATTGCATGAAGTTATTTACAAGGAAAATTACAGGTGAGCAGTGAGATTTAAAGTATGCGGCGTGAAGACCAACTGACCTGAAGAAGTGGTGAAGAAAGAGTGTCGGACTAGACCACTGATGCTGCAATAAGCTTTATAGGAGAGTGGAAGCGATGTAAAGGTTAGATGAGCCGCCAAACACCCGGGAAGCAGACAGATGTGTGACCACAGATCTTCGTTATTCAACTTCTACAAAAGCTTCCTTTGTTCTACAGTAAATTGGACTAAGCAACATAAATGAGCTTGCCATACTTTTTTTGGTATGTTAAATGTGTGTTTGAAACTAATTAGTAAATAAACATCCTCAGTTAGTTGGCTAAGGAAAAAGCTAGCTATCAGAAAAAAAGCTGGTGTCCGTTCACTTTAGACAATTTTCCATGCAGATGAGTTAATTTACCCTAACCACAGAATTTCAGTTGTACTTGAATGCTCATTGAAAAAAATCACAGTCCCTAACTGTATAGGCCTCTGTTACTGTACTTTTATTAAGAGCATTAAACCTTAAGAGCAACAGGTAGGACTCTTTCAGCTCCTCCGCTGAGTTTAAATTATTATTAAACAGGATTATGTCTTTTCTCCACATATGGGTGGACAGTAACGGTAAAGTAAAACATTTGAATCAATTAAAAAAGGGATCAACAATTCATTACTAGTGTTAACTGAAGAAGAGAAGATTGAAAAGACCAGTATATCAGTACTGATGCAAATTCACTGAAATGCAGCTGACATACTGATAACAGGGATGGTGCCCACAAAAGAAAACTGGGTTTAACCAAAGCTGTCTGGTTAAAAAAAGGCTGTCTGTGTGGAAGCTGTTTATCTCTGTTTGTAACAAACATTAAAACTATTTAAACTCTGGTAAACAGTCTGAAATAAACCAGCCTCTCCTTGAATTTTTCCTCTTTGTTCAGTATTTTGATGTTAAAATATCAAGTTAATTATACCACTACTGCTTTTACTCAGCAAAACATTAGAAAATATAGCAAAGCCTAATACTTATGAGTTGAAAGCAAATGATGATTTTAGAAATATGTTAATAAGTTAAAATATATGCTTAATTTCATTTGAACTATGGATATTTTTTCAGCATAAACTCAATTAGCTTTGGTGGTTTTGGTTTGGTTTTGATTCTGTATAGCTTACATCTTTTGAGAGATAAAATATGAAACATTAATACACTGTTCAAAACATTAAAGGAATTTTAATTTTTAATCAAAGTATAGCATAAAGCATCATCAAACAGGATATTGATCTGGTCAGATAAATAGCAAAAGGTGTTGTTTTGGTGCTAATTAAATTAATCAATTAAATTAACAATAGGTTCACTTAAGGGGCAACAATGAGAAAACCCCCTAAACAAGAACGTTACTAGCAAAATTCTAAATAATATAAATGTCCACAATTCAAAATGCTGGGTTAAAAGTTTTCACCAACATGAACGTCGTCACCTGGTCAGGCGTGGATTATCATGAAAATAAGCCTGTACAACTGCATCACCACTGCAAGGCCAGTAGGTGTCACAGAGGATCATAACAAAAAGTTAGAAATGGCTACTGAGGTAGTAATTCCCTTTGTATTGCAGTACACAAGCAAACTACAGCTTTGGTTTCCACCAGCTACAATTCAGCATTTTCACCTAACATGTTCTGCACCACTCTCTGATTTCTCTTTATGTATGTACTCCTAGACAAACCAGCTGAGAGGGTGGCCACTGATCATATCAACTAAGAAGATGGAAAGAGAGTCACGATTTCTTGATGATAAGAACGTTTACACAGTCGTCATAACTGCCATAGATGATGGTACGCAGAAGCTCTACTGTAGTTAGAATAAACTGAACAATTTCTTGAAGAAAGGCTTTATTGTGTTGTGGTTTCAAAGGTGAACCTCTAGCCATAAGCACATAAGCTGTCCAGATCCACCTCGCGGAAATCAGTGACAATACTCTAGTAATGAAGACTACTAGACTATCATTTTACTTCATATGTGAAACTTTGTCCAAAGAATAGTGTGTTGTCTTCAACAGTGTGTAATGTGAGTGATGCAACAGCATATATAAACATTGCTTTACCATAATTATTATTATATAATTATGTCTGCATATCCAATTCATAGTATATTGGTGCAGATATGAGGATAAATTACATTACAGGTTTGTAATATAAGCCTGTAATATAATGTATCTCTCCATCACTTGTTCCCAGGAAAAAACAAAAAGATAATAACTTGTATGAAAATAACCTTTTACCAGCGTGGCTGTGGCTCACGAGGTAGAGCAGGGCATCCACTAATTGATGTTTGTGTGACTGTTAGAGAGAATGCACTTATGTAAATAAGAAAAAGAGCTTGTATGAATGTGTGTGTGTGTGTGTGTGTGTGTGTGTGTGTGTGTGTGTGGTTCTCGGGGTTGCTGTCAAATTGTCGCTTTTATTCTTTAAGACTGATTTAGTTCTTAATACAGACGTTATGTGGCTACAGACACGTATTTTACAATAAGTGCGCGCGGACAATAAGACCGAGGCCTACTTTAGAGTTACTTTCACTTTCTAAGGAAACTCGATTCCGTGCTTTTCAAAATAAAGCGCCGTGTTGCGTCGCTGTTCTGGTTCATTGCACATATAAAACATGAATTGTCATGTTAATAATATAAATACGATATCAGCGAGGATTGTTTTGACTGTAGCAATAAAGC